ATTCGTTTTAAATTTTAGCCAAATTGTGAAAATAGGGAAGAGAATGGGAAAATTTCGTATCGACTTTTCACAGAAGAATCGAAATCGGCGCGGTCAATCCGTCGATTACGGACGGTAATTTTTCTTTATCAATTTTTTTTCGAGGAATTTTAATCATTTCAGATTCTCGTTACGGATCTCATATTGTTTCATAAGCCTCGAAGTAATTTTATGGAATGGATCCCGATGAATGAATCGAAATATAATCCGTGGCGTTATTAAAAGTTGCGGTTACCAGTTACCGGATAGAATATGGAAATAGCTTGGAAATACGAAGGAGTATAAAGGAAATAATCGCGAGACTTTTACGCGATTCTCGAATAATTAGATTTCCTAGGGCGAGGTAAAAAGAAAGAAAGAAAAAAAAGCTGATTAAAAAGGGATAAAAAATTTCGTTTTTCGCGATAAATTTCTCCTCGCAATTCCTCGAATTAATTGGCTTATACAACTTCGAGAAAAATATTCATTAACTCGATAAAAAGGGGGATGAAGTGAATTTTCTCATCTTATAGTTTCGTATGCATGCATAATGCGTTTTAAGGTGATCTAAAAAAAAAAATTAATTACATCCGGACGAGATCTTAAATAAAAGGATATTTTGCTCGATGAGAGATGAAAAAGTAGATGTTCTTCTCTCGTCAGAATTGTTTCTTCTTTCTCTCCCACTATTTATTCCGTTATTAATTTTTCCACGGTTGCGGTTTAAAAATGAAACCGATGTATGAATAAACGTACGAATGAATAACAACGTATGAAGAATAAATTTCGTCGCGATAACCGGTCACAATTATCACACATTGTTGGTATCACAAATAACAACGTAACAAAAAGGGGGATCCATTGAGATATTAATTATAATTAATCACGATACAATTACGAAACGTTTAAATACCACGGACAATTATACGTACGTTTAATCGCTTGATTGTTTCACGCTAACCACCGACCATTAGCTTTATTTAGAAATTTTAACACTCGTGTCTCGGAAAATATTTCGTAATTTTCATTTTGATCTCGATTCCATGACGCGATTTTTCATATATATATATATATATTTTATTTCGTAATTTCTCCCTTCAACGAGTTTTATTTATCCCCTAGCGAGAGAACACTCTGTTGAATACAGGATCGTTATCAGATCTACCAAAAATAGACGAGAGAACTATTAAAAGCCACCCTCGAAACACTCGAGAATTATACAATTCCTGGAACGGTAAGAATCGTCTTTAGATCATCATCATCCTTCTTTTTTCTCCCTTTTTCTCCTCTCTTTTTTCACATAATTAAAACGTGGGCCGAAGAGTTGAATCGTTCGTTTCAATCTTGTAGAGCAACGGTATCTTTTTTTTATCGTCCCTTTCCGACCAACTCAACTTCCTTACCTCATCAACAACTTTTTAATTAAAAATCGTGCATCGGATGGAATACGAAATAGATTGTAATCAGCACAGTTGATTACGTCGGTTTCAATGGTCGATGCACAACGGGACTCAATTCTGCGAACGAAATTTTACACAATGCCCGAATTATCCGAATCGTCTTTCCACGAATATATTTACGAATCGTATATCCATAATCCACGACTTATTGTTATTATATATAAAAATTGTTTTTAAATTCATTTTTAACATTCTATAATGTAATTTATCAAACTGATACGCATATAATTCTTTCACGAATCGTAACAGAGGGGGGGGGGGGGGCGTTGACCCAGAGTTAAAAAAAATAATTAATCAATAAAGTTACTTAGCTTATTACAATCCGCTTCTCATACGATTAAGTAACTTTCCTATTCTTCCTATTAAACTTCAACTATTAAATTTTCGTTGAATCTCAAAAACCAAACCCTTATTTCGAAACTTCGATTTTTCCTTCGTTCGATAATCAACGATGCAAATCGAAACTATTGTCGCGATATTTCAACGTGGTAATTAGATGGGGGAAAGTGGGGCGTTAGAAACGATGGGGGCGTGAAAACAGGGTAGAGGCGATGGCACGTGAAATGGAGTCGTGGGGTTAAGACTGGCGATAAATTTCGCTTCGTCTGGAAAAGAAGTAAGAAAAAAGAAGAAGAGAAAAAAAAGGGGGATAGAAGGATAAGTTTTAGGTTAATTAGACGGTTCATTCTCGCTCGTTGATGGCTCGTTCGAAACAACATCGGTATGGGAGAGGAGATCCCTACGGCTGGGGGAATTTTCTCCTCGAACGATCTCGAATCCCTATCCATCCGCAAGGATCTCCACTCCGTAATGCTCTCCTTCCCCGTAATCCGGCTTGTTTGCGCTCGTCTCCTCAACGACCGTCTCCTTCCACCTTGGCAAACTTGGAATAAATTTTCGAAAGATCGATTTCGAACAACAACAATTGTGACAATTCGATCGTAACTCCGGAGGAATAGGCGTTTTGTCTCGATTCGCAGGAAGGGAAGGGGTACTTTTGTAAGTAAAGTTTCGTCGAGAACGTGGACCGAATCGTGATCTCGAGAAAGGACCACACGTTTTACAGAGCGAACGTGACCGAAACGTTCCCTCACCAATGTTTGCCGAGTTTGGTTAAACCGATTGCGAACCGAGATAGAGAGAATATGGTAGGATATGCGAGGATACGTACGTTGTTCGGCAAGACGAGTCACGGTTGCACCAGAAACTCCTCGGGGAGTTATTCAGAGAGGAACTTCTTGTTCCTCCTCCAGATGTCTTCCACGGATAATTCGACCGATCTTGTTGTTAATAGTCGAACTATTCTTTAAGAAATATCTTCGTTCGAAGAAGCGCATTCCAATATACATTTAAAACGATTCGATTCTGCACAAAGAGACGTGTATTCTGCTTCTCTTTTATTCCTATATATTGCATAATTATTTCCGATTCTTCGATATCGATTCGAAAATTGAAGGAAAATCATCGAGAAACGATGGCAACGACTACTGCTCAGCAACGTTCGTTAAACCGCGCGCTATTCCAACCACTGATCCGTCGACAGACGTCACCACTCACGATATTAAAACTCCGGCGAGAAAAGCGACGCGTAGTAATTCACATCCGAACGTAAATGTAATTGGTCGGTAAAACGCGTCAGACACGCTATCCCAACAACGCTCGTACGACAGCTCGATCTCCGAGGAAACATACTCCGACTCTTACTTGTTCCATTTCGTCACCATTTCGTCCAATCCTCCTCGTCAATTAGGTTAATTGGAATACGGATCGAAGAAGAAGAAGAAGAAAACATTTTTTCTTTCTTTTCTCTCCAACATTTTTCGCAACTTCGTCTCACCGACCGAGTTTTTCCTTTCGCTCTTTTCAACCAACTTTTCAACACTCGTCGAGGATCCCGAAGCGGTAGTTGAACGAGCCTTTCTTATCGTCGGTTTTAAAGATTTGCACGAGGTTTCGATTCGAGCAACCGTTCTTTTTTTTTCCAGTGTCTCTTCTCTTAGATAAGATCACGGTAATAACGAGTTTAAGCTTCCATTGGCTCGAGAGTTTAGTTAGCCGAGAGAAAGAGAGAGAGAGAGATTCGTTAAACAATCGTGAGATAAGGAGGGGCACGATTTTTCCTCCTCGTCTCGCGTTGAAACGTTTGGAAGGAACGAAGGGTGGAGAAGAATTTAGCAGATTAACGTTCGAGAGAGAGAGAGAGAGGAGGGGTAGGTTTT